CGTGTCGAAGCTATATGCAAGAAGGTTTCTAGTCCAGAATTTCATTTACCAAGTTGGACCGTCTAGTTAAGCCATCGCAAGTGCCTTTCAATCAGACCCTTGCGCTCTTGCGCTGGCTCTTTCCACGGATTTACCAGTGCTTTCCTTGCCAGAGAATTTCCGCGACTGGATCGCGATTCTCAAATTGTAGGTTGCGATTGTTTTGCGCGTATACGCGCGCGTAACTCGGGATTGCATTACGGGCTGCACGTAGTCGATCGATGACACCCTCACCCTTTGACCCATATCGCCGAAGCATTCGTTTTGATTTCCCAAACGAAGCCGCGTTCGCCTTGCCAGACGAACTCGCGAGCGGTCGCGCGTTCGCGTGCGAACGCTATAGGTCACGTTGGGTAGCAAACTCTCGCAAGCTCCGACGAACGGCGTCGTCGGCGCTTACCCAGCTGACCACCAACTGTTGCGACCGCGAGCGCCAAGATGGCGTGGCTCGGAGCTTTATCGCTGGCTGCCTGCCTTACCGGCCACGATAACGCGCTACCGTCGCCCGCCACCCGATCAGCACCACGGGAAGAGAGGCTCGACAGGCCGAAAATTTCAGGGATGCTGAGCTTGCGGAATTGACGAAGTGACTTTTATGCCCCTCCCCCTCCACTTCCGTCAATGCTGCACGGAGATTTTTCGGAAAGATTTCTTCTCGGAAGACGAGTCCAGAAGTTTTTATAGATTTCATTCGGGTGTAAGCCAACATCTTTTTGCGAAGTCATGAAAATTTTGTTTTCGAAATGGAGTTATCGAGCGACGGTCGTCAAGCGTCTTTTCGCGCTGATATTACGGAAAATTAAAGTGCAGATTCTTTCGATGGGACGACAAAAGAGAAAAAGCAAACAAAAAAAGAGAAAACGAGAAATTTTTATTGTCGAATATCGGAGCATCGGGACAAACGTACACGCGAGCCCTTGACCGCGCAGCCTTATTAATTCGCGAAATTCATTACGCCGCAAAAATTGCCAAGGAACTCTTTCGAACGAGTCATGACTCTTTCACGGCGCGCGGCCCGCACGCGCGCATCGATCGTGAATTCCGCGCGGTCGATCGGCATCCGCGCGAGCGCGATATCCGTACTCGCGACCTCGCACTCGATCCGGCGTGCGTCGGCCGAGCCAGCGGAAAAGAGAAAGGCAGAAAGAGACTTCCGCCGAGGCGCGGAGCGAGCCGATCCGAGATCGAGCCGCGGATAATCTCGCCAAGCCCGCGACGGGCCGCGCGAACGTTCGCAAGCCTCGCGGGGGACGCGGTCGATAGCGATGATTATCGGTTCGCCGGGTGTTCGGCGTGCCTGGTTCGGGATCCGGTCTCCGTCGTTGCGCGCAAAAAGCAAAGGACCGGAGAAAAAGGAAAGAGAGCTCGGTTGGCCAATCGTGCGTCAGGCCGCGCGCGAGCTCTCGCGATCGATCGACTCGCGCGTTACGCGCGTGAGCCGGACGCGGAGTCCTCTTCCGAAAACGACACGCAGCGTCGTAAAATCCAGCCGCGTGCGGCCGCGGCGTAGGTACTACGGGGTGGAGGAAGCATTCGTGCTCGCGAGGGGGTAAATATCGATTGGACGGATACCCGCTCTAAATCCCGCCCTCACGCGCCACCTATGTAGGTCACTGGATCGCATAACCGCACGCGCGCGCGCTTTCTTGCAGCTTCTGCTGCTGCTGCTTCCTGCCTTTCAGCGGGACGCCGCGGCTCGATCGATCGGTCGGCGCTTTCGATCCCGCTCGGACCGAACGGCGGGCGCGCGTCCAAGTCGCCGCGAGTGAGAACGCGCAGATCGCTGATCGCGGATCAGCGCGAGTCGCCCCGGCGGCAGCTAATTAACCGTGAGGCCCGCGACGATCGATGCGTGAGTCGCACTTGTAAACACCGCGCGCACTGGGGCCCCGATGGGCGTACGTCCCTCCCCCCCCCCCTTCCTCGCCGTCGCTCGCGCGTCACCGCGGAGGCGCGAGGAGCGTCGGGTAAGAGTCGCTTATAGACCGGCGGCGCGCGCGGATTAATTTTATCGCGGAATCGACATTGCCCCGCTAAGGTCTCGCCTGCGGGTATACTTGTACGCGCGCGGCAATCGATACGCTCTCGCCCTTTTCTTTTTTTATTTCCCTCCTACTTGCGCCAGCGCGGGATTGGCTTTGATTTTCCGCTGTTCACCTCGTGGCCGCGGTGCGATTGTGCCTGCGAGAGCGAGCGCTGTCTCCAATGCGAACAATCCAGTCGTATGTCTTCTCGCTCGCACGCGCTTGCGACGACGTCCGGGACAGCTAGCGCGCAATGGGAAGCAAAAATGGCAAGCTCGTGAATTATTCATTGGGCGAAGCGAGAGGTAGCTTGTGCAAATGCCGTTTTCGGCTAACGAGCTAGTGTGCTTTGATCGACAAGAACGCATTTTCGGATCTTAGTCCACGGGGGAAAGTAGCCCCGTATCGTCGTCGTCCTTTCGTGCGAAAGCACCGAGAGGCATAATGCGGGTCAGTCGATTGTGTTTGCGCAGGTGTAATAGCATATAATGGTCCGTCTCCGTTTGAGGCCGATTCGTCTATTTCCGATGAGGAAGGTAATAACGGCTATCGATTTCAAAGCCCGCCGCCACTCTTGCCGCACAAAACCTTATTGCCAATTGTCTGTCTGTAGATGCAGTGTGTAACAAAACGAAAAGATCTAGATTTTGCTTTATTGACCAAAGTGGACAAGCGAATAGTTATTTTGGTGGCTGTTCTATTGTCTATTTCTAGAATAATACTTTTGTCGAATTTTTTTTTTAAATAGTCGTTAACTTTTTTTTCGATGTATTTAGATTCGGGCAAAAGCTGTCAATTTTACTTTCAAACGGTCTTGCCAATATCCTAAATGCCGCAAGCAATTCGGCTCTGATGTGACGAATGAATTTCTCGATAAAAGCGCATCGCGTTTTAGGCTTCGCGCGCGCTTGCGTCCAGAAAATAATTTGCTTCCTTTCGAACGAAACCCATCCGCTGGTGGAATGATTGTATTATTATTCGCAAAAATAAGATCATCCGACGGAGTATCGATTTCTAAATTGAGAATGCAGTTGGTCGTGACGTATTACTCCACGTCATGAACTGTTTCGCAGAATGGAGGATTTTTCGAAAAAAGAGGAGGCCACTTGGCTGGCTGCCATTCAATTTGCAATTCCCGAAACGGCTATTCAACGACCAAAAAAAAAAATAACAACACGTTGAAAAATCGAATTTAACTCTGTTGCCGCGATTAGTGTTCGGGCAGTCAACGTTCGACGTCGAAGTGCACGTCGAGTAAACGTAATTAACGCCGAAACAGCCGGGACGAAAAATCTCTGGTGGCGGGGGTCCGTAACCGCGCGCGCGAGGCGCAGTCCCCATTAGGTGCAACGGCTCACGTGTGTCGGGGAAACGGAGAGGATCAATACGACGATGACGACGGCAGCGGCAAGCGCGCGCGCCGCAGCGACAAATTTCATAGCTCATCGATTCCGATTCCATCGATTACACACTCGCAGGCGGCGCCGGCGGCGCCGGCGGCGGCGGCTGTGGCGGCGAGGTCCGAGCGCGCGATCGGGCCGGACGTCACCTCTGCCGCGCGCGCCGCGGGAGCGCGGGCGTCGCTCGATTCCGCGCGCAGATTTGCCGTGTCGCGGACGGTGTCGCACGCGCTTCGATTGCTCTCCACTCGGCGACGGCTCGCCGAAGTCGAAAGGCGGAATTGCGCGCTGCTGTCGGGGCCCCGGGGGCCGCGCGTAACAGGTACAACGTGTCGACGTGTCGCCGCGTGATTTTTCGGGGACCAAGGCTCGAGCGAGTCCCGCGCGAGCGCGTACGCCTCGCTCGGCGCGTCGATCAATGCGAAAGGAGTATACGCGACTGGCTTTTATACCGAGCGATCGCGCCTCCTCGCGAGACCTTGAATTTGCTCGCGACACTCGGATATCGAGACCTCCGGCGCAGCAAGGAGAGAGAGATGAGCGCCTTGGCGAACGTTAACTTTCGGAAACTCGATAAGCGCGAAGCCGAGCTCGCGCTTAAAAATAACACGTTCCGTCGATTTCGGGAGCGGGGGGACGGCTTATATACCATTTCTCCCACCGTCGAAGGCTGTTGCACCAGTGGCGCGCACAAGAGGCCCGCGGCTCGTGTACCTATGGGCGGGCATAGAACGCAATAAAACATTCTATCGATTGCCATCGGCTAACTCCGCGCGCGAGTTTTCGCGGCGATCGCCCTCGTTGTTTAGCGGCCGCCATTACTTGGGCTCCGCTTCGCGAGGGACGAAGGCGCATTCTGGCATCTATAGATGACTTCGCGTTCGCTTCAACAGGCAGATCTGCAGACCGCGAGCCTATTGTCGCTCGCGTGCCTCGCGCGGACGTAGGGCCGAAGAGATCGGCATCTCGATGGCATTGCCGCGATATGACACGCGAACGCGGACGACGTCGCGCGCGAAGCGACGACGGGCGGGGCTGCTGGGCGGCGAGCGACGACGACCGTCGATTGATCTCGCGGCGGCTCCGACCGTTGCGCCTGGCCCGCATCTCGCTCCGTCGAGCTGGCCACGGGGGCGCCCCGTGCACGCACTCGACGCGCTCGCCCTTAGCGTTACCTTCGGCCTGCAATCAGCGTGAAAGCAAAACAAATTGCACCGGAAGCGGGCGAAGCCGTCGCGCGCGTTCGATTCGCCCAGCTCGCTCCTGCCCGCCGGCGCTATCGGTTCGCATCTGTGGTCGGCAAGCACCTACTGCAAGGTCCCTTTTTCCAAAGGAAACGGGCAATTATTGTTATTTTTATGGACGTTAATTTTCACCCTTCTCCTTGGCTGCCGGCGACACGCGAGACGGAATTTATCGATTAATCGACAAAGGGGCGGCAACGAAAAGAAAGTATCGAGCTTCTTGTTCTGTGTATGATGTTAATACGAATGAGTGTAGGCGAACGGTGCATAATTAAGCGTATACGTATATTTACCTCTCATTGCCAAGTCTTCGAAAGTGGAGGCGGATAAAGAGATAGACGCAGGCCCCGAAAAATAAAATAGACACAAGTCATGTTAAAGGAGAAACCAAAACCATGAGCAAATATACACATACAGCCAAAGTATATCGACTGGCATTCTTACGTAAGCTGAGGCAATTTTTTTATTTTGTGCAATACAAGTGCGCAAACATCGCTCGAACGGGCGGTCTATACATCACGTTCATTTTTTTAAGCAGCAATAATCACGTGCACCTGTGCTGCAGCTCCTCAGTCATATCTCTCTCTCTCTCTCGCACTCTCTCTCTCTCTCTCTCTCTCTCGTACGTGTACACAACGAAAGCAACAATGGGAGGCAGCTTTCAATCATCGTTGCATAAACGCGAGCGCGCGCTAAAGCCTGCGTCCATTATGATGCTGCTCATTCTGAGCTGCTGTTGCTGTAAGCGGGTGATAAGGTTCAATCATAGTGAAAGCAGATTTTTCTTTATTCCTCTTCATTTTCTCGGGTGCGTTTTTCAAACGTGTTTTTCTTTTTCTTTATTCGTCAAAATTCGAAAGATCTCTGTTTGTTTACACAAGCTGTGAACATAAGTGTGTGTCTTGTTTCTTTTCCTTTTTTTACTCTGCTTGCCAAACGAGTACAATAAGCGTTGCGCTGTCTTTTTTTTTTTCTCAGCGAATAAAGTGGCAAACAAACAACTCAACGGAAAGGGTGAACGACTCTCAAAGTGTTTTTCAAGGCGTCTTTAAATCTATTAATGAATAACTTTCAACATTTCAATGAAGTGTATTTTATTGCGCTTAAAGTTTATAAAACAACTGTTATATCAAAGTTTATATGAAAACAATTTCGTCTGAAGCTTTTGGAATGATCCATCAATTTTTTGCTGATTCCAGCTTGAAGAAATTATCTACCGTAAGTTAACGTAAAAGAAAAAAACAAACAAATAAAAGTGAAACAATGAGAGAGCAATTCACATATATAGGCTACACGGCCCTTCTAGTAACATGACGGCAAGCAGCAAACAAAGGGGTTGTAGGATCGAGGATCAAAAAAGAAGAACGAGGGAGCTATACATGAGTGCTCGTCAACACATCGTGCTCAAATTGCAGTGTCGTGTGTTTGTTGCAATACACAAACTATCATCGTCATAGCATCCGTACATGAGAGGGTTGTTCTCCTGGTTGTTGCCACCGGCGGGATTGGCATTGGAGCGCCGCGAGCGCCAAAGTGCCAACCTTGCAAAGCCGTATCTCGTCATCCTTGCAGCAGCAGCAGCAGCAGCAGCATCCGCCCACTTTCCTTACTCTGTCTTTCAGCTTCTCAGCCCATATACATAGGTCCGCCGGGTATACCTCGTTTCTTTTCTCTTTTCCACTGTTGCTGAATTGCAAACGCGCGTTCGTTACAAAATTTTAGAAAGCAGGAGAGAGTGATCAGCGTGTCGAATCCAATAGAGAAAGCATCGATCTGTTGAATGCTGCCACGAGGCTCGTTGCGCCATTGCCGCGATAATGACGGACGGCGGCCGAAAAAAAGAAGGAATCACAACTATTACGTAAGAATTGCGCGGCGGTTGGCGTTGCAAGGTGCACGAGCTCGGCGGAAAGTCTTGCTTTCGTCGCCGAAGCAACACGATCAACCCGAAAAATGCAGCGCTACCGAAGTTCTGCGCGCGCGCGCGCGCTTCAAGCCTCGAAGGGAGAACAATAAAAGGTCTTACTTCGAAGAGAACATCTTTTCGCTGTAACTCTCATTGGATTCGCGCGAGCGTCGATGCTGAACTCTCGCAGGAAGTGCCCAGGAATGACGGAAAAGTCAAAGCGCATCAACATCGACGCTCAGCTCCACACTGAGAAAAAAATGAGTGACGGGTGGCGGAAAGGCAACTGCGAGCAGTAGTACGCCAAAAAAAATTAACCAACCTGTCACAGAGACATCCTCGCGCTAGGAATAGCAACAGCAGCAGCAGCAGCAACACCTCAGTCTCGACATATTCGCGCAGGAATGTCGGTGTGTACGTACATGTATAGCAGGCGCACGACTAAGCTTAAACTTACAGACGAGAATCGATCGAGTTTCGCTTCGACGCTTGTTTTCTTTTCTTTTTTGCTTTCGTCGTATTGTTCGCGAAGCGATTGTCAGATCGACGATATTGGCAGCAGCGAGAAAGGCACGAAATCGATTATTCGCCCGAGAAAATCCGTGTACGCTCATTCATGTTTGAGTGATGAAAAAAAAACGCAACGCACGGCACTGACCAGCCCCAACGACCACTCGCGTGATGTCTGCGAAAGCAAAGAAAACCACCAGCCCGCGCAGTTGCACGTCAGACGCCGCTAGATGGCGCTCGAGAGTGTGCTTGCAAGCTCGCTTCTGCATGTGTCGAGCGCTTATGTGGTAGTAAGTACAGCCCGGTGCAAGAGTATAAAGCGCCACAGTGCAGCATATGTAATATAGTTGTATGTACGCGTGTGTGTGTGGGGAGGGGGGGGGGGGGGGGGGGGGGGGGGGGAGTGTTGCCGTCATGGTTTTTAACGATTGTTTTTTTTCAATTTTTTTTTTTAATATGATCATTGAAAAATAATTAAACAGGACAATAACAATCTAAAGAAATATAAATCTTAATCTAGGTCACGCGAATCAAAATTCGCGGCTTAAAATTTTTCCAAAGCAGTAATGCTTACGATTTTCCGGATGAGTAAGATTTTGTTTGAATTCGAAGAATAGCGATTGGTTCCTCAAAAGCTGCTGTATTTCCTAAAAATCGCGCGAATTCAGAATTTTCGTTCTACAAGTAAAAGAATTGTTGTAAATGCTTTGCGTTCTTTGGAAGCAACGTTTGCGGTATGTTATTCGAGAATGTTTCATTATTCAAGTGAGTCCATATTGGCGCTATGAAATCAAATGAAGGGATATTCGGTGCGGTGGTGTGCATTGGATCATTACTCCTCGATCGTTTGTCAATGAAACGACGACAAGTAACTAGAGATTTAACAATCAAGATAGCGCTCCCGGTCGACAAATGAAAATTTATGAAAACGTTATGAATCACGGCGGTGCGCGCGGTGATACCGCGGGTAGAGAACGGGGCTAAGGTAAATGGCGGGGCTTATCTTGGCGCGCGTAGCTGATAAAACCATGAGTTATCCCGTGTCTAATGGCGAAATTAATCATTTGCTATCGCTCGCGCGAGATGTTAGCGCGGGACAAGGCGCCGCGCCGCGCTCCAATCCCGTCCCCAGTGCAACATCGTGTCGGTCGCACGATCCGATATTTTCGCGACGCGACCGCGGGAGCTACTGTTCGCGACGACCGAGACGCTCGGCCGATTGGGTAACGGTCGCGCGGGGCCTTAGGACTTCTGGACAATCGAGTTGGGTGGCGCAGGGCCGCGCCGATCGACGTTCAAATTATCGGCAAGTTCGGATCGGGCGCTGCACGTTGATTACGACGTTACGGCTTCCCGGCGTGTCTTGTGTGCGGCGCCGAGTTCGACACGGCGAACTCCAATTTAAACTCCGCGCGGGGGAGTCGACAAATACTTGCATGAGCTTCCGACAGCTGCAGTCTCGCATTCGCAAAATTCAACCTCTGCGTTCACGCGTTCAACACGGTTCATTTGTTGGCTTCTCGATACTGGCGTCATTTTGTCGTTTTGTTTATTTTTTTCAAGATTGAATTGGCAGATATGGGGACTCGTCTAGAGATACAAAAAGACCATCGTTCGAAACAAAAAATATTATCAGTAGGCAAGCTGCGACGTAACTAATGATTTGCATCTCGCAAAACTTTATAAATAACATCCTTGCAGGCCTGTCTCTAGAAGGCAATCAGATAGGCAGAGAGAGAGAGAGAGAGAGAGAGAGAGAGAGAGAGAGAGAGAGAGAGTGCGAGTAGCTGCTATTTTCAGATATCGATCAATCGGTGTTGCCGCCACGGCGGCTAAGGTCAGCCCCGGCAGTATGATAAGTTCGGGGGCCGCCAGAGCGAGAGAGAGAGAGAGAGAGATACTGCGTGATCCTTGACTCAGTTCGCGCTACTTCTAAAGCTGCAATTTCACTCTGCCGCTCGGCTCTGTGTTTACCTTAATGAGCCGCGAGCGCCGTTGTTGCTCTTACGCCTCGGCGAATCGATGGACCGCCCGTGAATTTCGAGCGATGCAGATTGCCCTCGGCCGTGTTTGCCGTTTCAGGCTTATACGAAGACGCGTTCGCCAAGGGAACGGAAGGATTTTTTGGCATATCACAGTCGAGCGAGAATCGCAAGTCGATAATCATTGTTCGTCGGGGAAAGACACCTTCTCATCTTCGAGGGAACGAGCTTCGACTTCAATTGGCCGCCGCCGCTTGACAAGCTGCCAGCCTCTCTCCGTCGCGCGTACCCGAGAATTCCGGCTCGAACGTACGCGTATTTTTCTGCATCGGTGATGATCGATCCGCTCGTCAGGAGGAAAACACACGCACCATAACGCGTCAACGGCTACACGCGAGGAATTAATTTATTCCACGGCGTCGGCGTGACGGGCCCTGTGTGCTGACTGCGCGCGAGCAGGTGTAACGCGAATCTGACGGTGCGCGATCCACGATAGGCAGGACGAGCTAGGGGGCGTCTGGGAAATTGATTTTCGCCAACACATAGCCGAAGTAACAAGTTGGCTCGCGAACCTGGTAGCCCATAGTCCCAGCTGGTATCGACCTCAAAGGCTGGACGCGCCAGTTCGCTCTACGCGTCGAGCTCTGCCGGAGCGATTCGAAGAGGAGGGACGCGGCGAAAGGGCGTCTCCGCGGGCGTCTTCTCGGCGCGCCGAGGAGAGGAAGAAGAAGAGACACAAAAGGTGTGAATTCCAAATCGCGTCCGGTTGGCGAGAGGTCGAGTCTCCGAAAGCTCTCGCCCGTGACACTTCTCACGCTCGTAAGCTCGCGCAACTCTCTTGTATTGCTCGGGGCATGAAGTTTAACGGCGCGAACAATAAAGATTTCTCCGCGCGACGTTCTCGGGCGAGGCTCTCGCAGTTGGGCGAATTATCCCCCCCCCCCCCCCCCCCCGCCGGTGCGCCACATAAAAAGCTCACTCTGGCGCTTTCGGCGCTCGACGCTCTTCACGCTGGACTGCGCGCGTTTAATGCTCGACGCCGCGAACGCAGCCGGCCGACGGCGTTAACGCGCCGTTTGTTTTATCGTCACGTGTCTCGCCCGAGGCAGTTATCCACTTCGGCGCCGGTCGAGTCGTCGGCCAGTTATCATCGTTAACGGCGACTAGCGAACCGTGCGCGCGTAGAGCGCCGAGTGGCGCCACCTGTGCCGCTCTCTCGCAAACCCGTCGCCCGAAAAAGCTCGCGGCGCGCGAGTTTTCGGCAGCGGCGGGAGGGGATGCAGCGAGAAAAGTCGTGCCATCTAGCAGCGGCGGGCGCGAAGCGACGCCGAGCCTCGCCGTCTCTGTCTCTCTCTCTCTCTCTCTCTCTCTCTCGTTCGTGCATTATTGATCGGTGAAACGGCGCCAACTCGAAAAATTGCAAAAGCGAAATGCTTCGGTCCGCGCGTGTGCGGCACCCGTCTCGTACCTTATCGCCTGCGCTGTTGCAACTCCTTCGGCGAACAGCTTTCGCGAAGACTTTGCCGAGGACGGAGATTCGCTAACGCGCGCCTCGGCAATCGATAGGGGCGCAGATTGTCGTCCCGTGGGACCACGCTCAAGTGGCTACGAATTCGTGGGAAAATATGCCGTTCGCGGTGCCCTTGACGAGGATTTTCCACGGCGACTGGAGAACACGATCTACGCTTTGGTAATCAATCGTGATTGGCAGATTTTCAATGTACCAGATTTGCGGCAAAGGGTTTTTTCGTTCTAATGTAAAGGGCCCAATTCGGTTAGCGCACTACTGCCGTAAAAACTTAGGTACGGCAGAACGAAATGACCAGCTGTACTCACGGGACGCCTGCACTTCTGGCTCATCCTTCTGCATCAACGTCGATTTGCTGCTTTTTATTCTTTCGGTTGATTCGTTTATTCTCGAAGTTACGATGTTCTTTTCTTCCCGAGGAATGAGTAGTTTGACGTTCAACCAAATATTCGGACAAGATATATCGTTTGATTTTGCAATTGTCCTAGTTTATTCATCGGGGTTAGGACGTTTCGGATGACCCAGGGTCAACCGATTTTCTTTCAACTGTAATTGCTTTTATCGCGATGAGTTGCTGGTTGCTTCACGAATTGTTCACGAATATTCGAAAAATACTATACAATCCAATAGATAAAGCGACCAATTTTGTTACGAAGTACAAGCAAAAATCGCAATCGATACATTAGTCCCAATGCGCAAATTGATAACGAAAGCCGCGGAATTATGATCGGCTTATAAGCAGTGAATTCACGCGATAATTCATCAGTCATTTCTCGAAAGGAAATCAATCGGAGGAATTCATCTTTTTTCCCTTTTTCTCGGCAACGTCGAGGCAAACAACTCTTCCCCGTCGCATCTCCCTTTCCCCATCCTGTTCCGGCCTATTTTGCATGCTAAGTACGTTGGACGTACGCGGGGGAGAGATCGAAGATGAGCGATTACAAGGGTCCGGCTGCTGCTGCGGACACGCGAGACGCCGCGCGATATATGAATTTTCATGAGGGCGCGCCTCGGCCGTCGAGAATTCCGCGCGGGAGCGATCGATTATCGATGCCCAAGCGGATCTTCGTCGACGGAACGACCGTGCATTTTCGGCCGCGAGCCGACAGAGACTCGTTCGCTGTGCCGCGAATCGATCACCGCGCCAACGTCCAGGCGACACACGAGAGCAAAAAGGCAGCGCGCTAGACTGCCCGCTCCGCTCCCTAAAGAATGACCCGCGGAAATTGTCCGTGTCGCCGGCCCGAAGATTGCCTTCGCGCGCACACTTTCGCAAAGAGAACGGAAGCAGACGTCGTCGTGCTAATGAAAGTCCGCCGAGTAGACGCTTGGCGTGGTGCGTACTGGTGCGCCGGGTACGGCGTCGCGGGCGTCGCGCGACCGGTTAGCCGCGCCGTGCCGCACATCGGGCAGGGGCGCGGATTCGCGGTTGCGACCGAGCTATGCGACGAGGGCGCCCCATCGGCATTGGCCATCCAGAGCGAGCCTTGGCCGCGCTCGGCCCTCGTCGCCCTACAACTGGACATTATTTCAGTGAACCGCGCGCGTGCTTCCAGTGGCGCCTGGCCGGAGCGATTTCATCGGGGACATTGGCGCACGCCAAGCGCACATTGAATTATATAACGACGGCGGTGCCGCGACTGCACGCCGAGCATTCGCGTCGGCTCTCGCGCGCGTGTATACTTGCGGACTGTTTATTCGGCCGATGAAAATCGATTCGCGCCACTGCGAATCGTGTCCCGTGCGATCGGCGGCGCGATGGAAACGAGAGCGCGACGACCGAAACGCGGGCGAGAAATAGACACACACACACACACACACACACACACACACACACACACACACACACACACACACACACACACACACACACACACACACACACACACACACACACACACACACACACACACACACACACACACACACACACACACACACACACACACACACACACACACACACACGTATACATACATATGTACATGATCGTACTCACAGGAAGAACGGCCAGGAGGACTCGAGCTTCTGCGACGGACGTTTCTCGTGCTTGGCGGCATGCCGGTGCTCTGTTCCGTGACAACTGCAATGCACACGCAGACTGAATTAATTACACATTACTCACCGCCGTGCGACTGATATTTTTGGTGCTCGACGTGGACAGAGAAACAACAGAAAAGAAAACAGCAGGGCATGCACGTCAACTCGTCGATGTGTCTGCGTATACACGCCACAAAATGTGTGTATATCGATTATTAAAATCCACGCGTGCACAGCTGAAGCAGTTACGTAAGTCGGTTGTCCGCGAGACAGAGCGAATATTCAAACGCGCATGTATTCAAATAGAGCGCGAATAATGCGTGTCGAAAAATGAAAAGGGGGGAAGGCACGCGGGTACGATAGGGTTCCGCAAGCAAGCAGAGGCTCACAGATGAGAATGGTGCTGCGAGGCGGAGAGCAGACCTTGACACTGCGCGAACACTATTTATAGCGACGTGCGAGTCCGCGTCTCAAACACGTTCACCCGTGATAAGAAAAACGAGACGAGGCTGTCTCTGCTGCGCGAGCGAACCTTGGATCGACTTACGTCTCACGCGTAACCAGACAAACCGAATACACGTGTGTACCAGCACTTCGCTCGTTATGTATGTTCGGAGCGCGACTCGCGAGAGAGAAGCTCGTTAAACGGGGCGGCAGCCAACGAAACTCGGCAAAATGCCGGCGGGACGCGGGTGGAACGACTAATTGCGATGCATCGAACGACGAGCTCGCTTTCCCTTTTCCTCGCTGCAGCGACGCGCGCAAGCCTACTTCGTTCTCATCGTCTGCCGACGCCCGGGTCGCCGAGTTGCGAAGAGCCCGCGCTTTAACTTTGCTCGGCGACGGAGCCGACGATTATCAAGTTGCCGGCGTCAGCTATCCGACGGCCCGGGCTGATTTCATTGAAAGCTCGAAAACTTGGCGGGAGAAAAGAAAAAGGCACACCGCGCGCGGCCTTAAATAATTCATTTTAAGCACCGACTGATTAATTGGACCGACAACGACCGCTGAAGGAGCACTCGTTGCAACGAGATACCGATCGCGGATTGTAACTCTGCAGCGGAGCGACGATACGTCCTTTCGTCGCTGGCCGCGTCGACTCGTACGAGTCGCACTGATCGCGATGACTTTACAGAAAACGTTCGACGCGACTTGCAAACATTCCCATTTCCCTCGCGAATACTCAGCTCCGAGTGCAGGCCGATCAGATAGAAATCTAAATCTGCCAAGTCGATAGCCATTAGCCCGCAACCCCCCGTCGATCGATATTCACTTGCATGACGTTTCAGTTTATCGCTAAGTATAATTTGATAGCGATCCCGTCCTATCGGTTAACGCCTAAAGCCGGCTCACGGCGCCGAATCGGAAGCAAACATTAACGCTATTCGACGTCGTTAATGACCGTCAATAATTAATCGCTGGAAAAAACCCGAAGCAATAGCCATAAAACAGCGAACTGAGAGAGAGAGAGAGAGAGAGAGAGAGAGAGAGAGAGAGAGAGAGAGTGATAGGGGGAGAGTGGAGGGGAAAAAAGGCCTCGCGGCTGAATAATACATCGGAGTCGCAGCGCTCGATAGATACTTTCTCTCGGTTGCCCTTTAAAAGCTCGCCAAGCCGAACCGCGCGTTGCTAAAGAGGAGTAGGTGCTTCATTGTCTAGCCCGGAGCACACTTGACCTTTCCTCACATGCATACCCGAGGACACGAGAATCTCGCGAACCGTTCTTCTCCGCGCTTTTGTCGCTCGGCAAGGCCACTGCAGAACCTGTCGATTCCCAGGTGCATTTTATTTTTGTATTTCGCGCTAGAACCTTTTGGCCAAAGACGGTACAATGGAGTTTACGAAAACTTTGCTCCGGCTGGCCTCCCGCGCCGCGGAGAACGGGTTTAAGACTCTAGCGGTTAACGTGACGAAGATGGATTTCGGGGAGCGTGCACGAAGCTTGAATTTCGGAAGCGGATCGCGATGATAAATCGTTTTCGGCATCTCGAAAGAAAAGAATGCGCGCGCGCGCGCGGTCAATTCGACGCGGCCGATCACTCGACACGGCGGCTCGGGAGGGGGAGTCGTTCGTTTCTACTCGTTTCTACTGAGATGCTAGTTGCCATCGGTGATTAAGTCTGTTATGGTTAATTAATGCCGAATCAATACTGATAATGAGCTAACCAAGCGGCACAGTTGAAACTCCCTGCGCTTTGTGCTGTGTTCGAGATTAAACGCGATTCGAATATTCATATAGATCCGTCCGATTTCAGATAACCTTTCCTAAGGGCCAATTAGGTTTTATATCGGCGGGGCACACTTTCCACCGCCGTAAGAAAGACAAGAGACGCAGACGTTGACTTGTAACGCCCCGCGAATTGCGTTGGTTATCGGCTCTAAAAAATTGACGAAATAAAAGGGAAGGAGGCGGCGCGGTCGTAAAGCCACGTGATCCGCGCGTCCCCCTCGCCCCGCGCAAAGTTGGGGACGCGAAGTACCGAGCGCACTTAGCCTATCTCAGGCCGCAAGCCGATATATACACAATGACAGGGAACCTCGCCGACGATAATCTCCAGCCGTCAATATATAGCCGACTAAATTGCTTCTCTCGCGCTCGCGCGTAAATTATCGATAAGACCGCGAAGGGGCGCTCGGCTGGAGCCCGGCCGATTACCCGACATCCGAAAATTTTCGATTAACCTTATCCCAGTCAGACGCGATCCTTGCTTCTTGTTTTTTTTTTTTTTTTTTTCTTTCCGAAACTTTCGCCCCGATTACACGCCCCGAGCCTGGCTTTCCGCGGCTTCGTCTTGCGACGCGCAACTGACTGAACGCACGTTGGAGAACAAAACAATCGAAGATTCTTGATTCGGTTGCTCATTTTCTAATTATTCTTTTCGAATTCGAACTATTCCTTCCCACTGACTAAGATAAAAGTTTTCAGGCGATCTTTATTACTACTATCGTGTAAACGATGTAATCTCCGGAAACAATGGGTTACGCGTCGCAGGTTCCGAGAAAAAATGAATTACGAAACTATGTAAAACCTAACGATCTATTGTTTCATTTATGCAATGACTTGCATATTTCTATCATAAAAAGCGAAAAAATTGTCTCGAGGGAATGTTTGCGTTGCGGCAAACTATAACACTGGCATCTTAAGACGCAGTTACTGGTAAGAATTGTAACACGATTTTTCGACGTTAAACTGCTGAAAGCTTTGGCATACGGGTCATTCGTCAAGTATTGAAAATATTCGTTATGAATTTTGAAATAAGAATAAATAACTGTTGAAATAAACTTTTTCTTCGTTTATCAGATCGTACAATAATCTCATTCAAGTACATGTTAAATTTACAGTGCATAGATTACGATCTGAAACAGTGCTCAGTGCAATCATTTTATGAAGAAAAAAAAAACAAGTTTATAAAATCACTATTATCCGCAAAAGAAACCCATCAGTATTCGATGAAACGTACAATGGCATTAACGTGCTATTATTAGTTTATTCCCGGGGAAGATATCGTTGTTGTGACTAGCGCAAATAGAAAGTAGAAACGGCGGGCAAATAAACGGCCAACTTTTCGCATTAACATACAAAGAGGCGCGTCTCGCACCTGACAGAAAAGCAATTTGCCACCGCTCACACTCCGCGCGTGCGCGCGCGCTTTTTCCTCCTCGAAACGCGGCCCAACGCACTTGCAATCAACCTGCGAAAATGCTCGAGGCCGCGACAACGCGGACGTAAATCGCTTGATTGTTTTCGAGATCTCCCACGGAAAGCTTCGCGATTTATGATCTAGATCGAGGGTCAACAGAAGGATCGTCCACTTGATCGCGGGACAATTTTGACAATCGAAGAGAGATTGCGCATTTTACACTTCGCCTTCTTCTTTTTTTTCACGCCCGTGGCACTTCATCCAAGGCTATTGACGATGATACGTGCCGAGCCGCGAGGACGTGTCCTTCCGCCGTCGATTATATTTATTGTGCGCGCCCGTGTATTATTTTTTTTTTTATTTCTTTCCTTCGACGCTGCGGGATTGGACGATCGAATGCGCGAGAGTCAATCGGAAAATCGATGCATTTCAACCGTCGCTCCATGTTAAGTCGCCATTCGGAGCGAGCCTCGGCTTGGTCAACGACGTAAAGAGCAATCAGAAAGCAGCTTGTCGATGTTCAGTGAATAGAACCGTTAATGCGCGCGCGACAGTACGTACAATTACACTGCATGTCGCGGTTGACAGCTCGGCGTAAGAGAATAACCACTGCCGACTGACGAATCGCTAATCGTCGTGATATGCAAGCGCATCGGATGACTTGGCGCATTCGACGCGCATCTTGTCGGACGAACGCGGAAAATACATAGGCTTTCTTCGTCGTCACAATACTGTTTCCACAAAATCGCTGACTCATCGCGTTACGAAATCAACTGCTCCCTCACCGTCTACTTATGTCGCGTGCATGCGGCGTGAGTCTCGTTACGAAGTACGAATATTAGTCATTACAGCGCGCGAGCGGGAAAAAAGGGCCAACGGTTGACTTTCAATAAAGGCGCTGCCGAGCTTTACATCAGTTGAAAATCACCGGCAGCGAAAGAAAGAAAGAGGGAGAACGGGGCACGGGAGCTAGAGAACTCGAGGAAAGGGATCTCTAATAAAGCCTCCCAACGACTGGATTCCCTTTCATTCTTGCGCCTCGTAATCCCAGCTTAGCCGATTTGTCAGCGCCGAAGGCGACGCGCAGATGACGAGCTTGCGCTTTCCCAACAGGCATCCATCCGCTTTTTTTTCGCCGTTTCCGCTCGCTCGTCCAATCTGTTTATGACGCGCGCGCGAGGTCGAATGTAATTCGGAGTGCGGCGAGTGTCCCGGCATACTTTTGACGGCTGATTCGCAGAAACGAGTATTTACGGCGATCAAAACCAGACCCAGGAAGCTCGAGTCGATCGAATTCGCATCGAGGTTCATCAAGCGCGAGAGATGAATAATTCAATCCGCTTGATTGAAATACAGGATGACCGAAGTCGGGATGTCTCGCGAGTGTCGATCGATTCGTCGA